AGTCAAAAGCTCTCTTAACTGTGCCTGAAGGAATGGAAGATGAATCCAGCATGCATCAAGTAGAGTATGTGATCACTCCTAGAACGCGCACAAGGGGACAACTGAATAGAAGTCTAATTATTCCATCAGCAGATGATCAGCAACTGTTAAAACCTGACAAACCGGTTCTTTTGGGACTATCTACTCGGAGAAGTACTAGGCGAACAAAAGAAACATCTGAGACTTCTAATGTTCAAACAGAAGAAAAGGCTCAAGGTGAGCAAACACCTGTGATCCCTGTTACTCCTAGGAGAGGTAGGAAGCCTAAACAGACTAATTCAGAAAAAGCAGAAAGCAGCCATTCTGATGGACAAGCGTTGTCCGTCAGTACACAGTCTGTAGCTGTTACTCCGAGAAGAGGGTTAAGGAGAGCAAAGGAACCTGTATCTGGACTTCTGGAAGAGCATAACGAGGAAACCTCTCTTGGTGAGAGTAGCTTTCTTGCTTCTACTACGTCCAAAAGGACTAGAGGAGGAAAAAGTTCAGTAGGGGATCAAGAAACTGGCCAGATTGCCACGGATCATAAGGCAAAAATGGCGGTCAGTCCCAGTAGAAGTGGAAGAAAATTAAAAAGCACTAGTTTACAACTTGATGAAAATATTGTCACAAATCAAGAGGTGCAGCCTAGTGACCAGCTCCTCTTACCTGTACCAACTAAAAGAGGCAGAAGAAGAAAAGTGAGTTCATCAGAAGTCTCAGAAAATTCTGAAGTTGATCTATCTAAATCGTCACCTCCTCAAACAGAGTTCAAACTTCCTGTCACTCCTAGAAGAAGTGTTAGGAAAGGGGCTCAGAATCTCTCAGCAGATACAGAATCCCTCTCTACTCAGGAAGGCATACGTTCAGGTGAGAAAGTGCAAATCCTTCATATTCCTAGAAGATCAACAAGAGTTACACTTGCTAAACCAGAAAAAACGGATACTCCTGAGAGAACACCTGCAAAGCTAAATGAGGAACCAACTACACCCAAGACAGGGCGTCGGGGCAGAAAGAGCCGACTGCCATTGATATTGGAGGAGAGCACAGTGGAAGAAGCCTTTTCCCAAGGGCCTGATGGCAGTCCTTTACTGCTTGCAGACCTAAATAAATCAGGACATGACGAAACATCCAGAACTTTAACAGATCATAGCACTCGTATTACGAGAACCAGATCCCGCAAAACTGGCATGGATCAGAAACTATCTGTAGAGGAAAACGAGTCCTTCTTTTTCTCTCCTCCCCTTACAAAGCTGACAAAGAAATTAAAAGGTAGGTGCAGTACTTTCTTACACAAAATAGGGGATACTGTAGTCTTGTCAACTACAGAATAAAACAGACCATGAATATGGCTTTATGTACTGTGAAGAATGTAACTGTGCAAAAGTGAAAATTTGGAACAAAAGAAGGAATTCTTTTTTTTGTCTAAAGCCTGCATGACTGGCTGGCTCCTTATGGTAGAAACAAATGAAGAAGATGAAATCTTCCCAGTAAGGTGAAATTAAATTTAATATGAATTTTGTCGTGACCTTAATTTCCATCAAATTCCAAGACATTAGAGAGCGATCTAATTGCCCTTTCTTCTCCCCAGCAGAGAAATAAAGGAAACATGCTTCTAGATTTTGTTCAGATTTTTACCTTAATACGAGCTGCTCCTTGCAGCAAACTATACCGCTCTTAATTATGTGGTTTGTCTTTCATTGGCTTATGCTTTGCTAGTGAAATTATTACAGATAGGATTTTTTTATATTAGACTACATGATAAAAATTTCAAAACATGTGAAGGCAGCTGATGCCTCTTGACCATAAACACATCTTTGATTATGTATGTACAGGTAGGATCACTGCACTGATTTATCTTTATTTCACAGTTTACTATAAAATGATGGATCCCAAGAGGCAGTTCCTAGGGAGAAGTACCTCCACATGGAGTGTTGATCTGATCCTTTATTTTAGGAAGTTGAAACTGTAATTTAATTTCATTGTCCTTTATATATAATGTACGCGCACATTAACTACTCATTGTCATTTTTAGCTGAAAAGGCAGACCATCCCGTGCAACTTCAGGATTTAGACCCAGACTTGTCTTCTCAATTTGTTTTTTCACCCCCTCTTTTGAGGTCAAGGAGAAAATGTGTATCTAGTATTTCACGAATTGTGAAAGAACTGGTAAGTAAAAACTGCATTTTTCTCAAAGTGCTGACTTTTGTTCTGTACCTCTCTTTCAAATCATGCTCTTCAGTGCCTTGCCTTTTTCCTTGAAAGTATATCTAAAAAGAGCCTTTAAATTAATCGATTAAACAAGTATGTTCCTTCCTGAAAATTAGCTACAAAAATCAATTTTGAATATATGCAAATTAAGAATGAATAAATGTTGCCTTGCCTTTAGCAAAGGGCACGGTGACCTTCTTTAAACATGTATGGTGTGTTGTTTGTTGATTTCAGAATCAGAACTTTTGGATGTGATGTTATAATTTGAGATGGCAGGTTTGTTTTTGCAGAAAGGAATTGTAATGCTTTTGGAAATAAGAACTTTATCAGAATTTCTGCATAAAAGAAATCTTTATTTATTCTGTGGAAGCGTGAGAATCCGTGGATGAGAGTGACGTTTTTGTTGCCTTAACGTAGGAGCTTCCAGCTAAAGAGGAAGAGGAGACCAAATCCATAGAGTCTGTGGGAAAGCAAAAGTTGAAGAGAGGTAGAACTGCAAAAGCGAAACTGAAGAAAACAAGCAAGTATGAAGTTCTCTGGAACAGTTATTTGCATTCCTTTATTGTGGTTACAGTTCAGCTGGTAGCAGCCTAACTTCTTCCCCATCTGGCCAAGAAGTTCTTCCCTCACTTCTTGCAAGCCAGTCTAGCCTGCTGGTCTGATAGAAACTTTTTTTTTTCCCCCCTCCATCTTAAGAGTTTTCTAATGGAAACAGAAGAGGAGGAGGGAGGGAATAGGAAAGGACAAGAGGTTACCCCTCTTTTTGGTGGTAGTGTGCTCTTAGATTGATATATTCAGTCTTAGGAAACCGCACTCTTACAGTCTTTAGTTCCTCGTTTAAGGAAAGGAGGGGACAGGCATTGACTAAAGAAAAGTTCTTGTTCCTGGACATGTTTCTTGTTTTGTTCTGGAAAACTGCTTATTGAGGACATTTGCTTCCTAAAAGCTTGGAGGACTCTACAAGTTGTTGTGAATAAGCGCTGAGAATAATTGAGATGATCTGGTAAGGGGTGAAAACAAAAATAGGCTTATTTTTATAGCTTTTCTGCCTTGATCCTGGGTACAAAAAAGCCCATAAATAACAACACTCTTGGACATTACTTTTTTAATACTACTTATTTTCTCAGATAAATATTGTTGGTAATGAAATCCATTTGGTACTTTCCACTTTCCTACAGACCTACGAGAAAAGAAGGTTCTTGGTCACCTCCACCAGTGGAGATTAAGTTCCTTTCCCCTTTTGGAAGTCCGGTGGATGGAACCAAAAGCAAACAGAAAGAATCCACAGATGCGGCAGAAAAGACTCTACGAAAGAACAAAAAAAGACTGTCTAATTTTCCAAAGCCAGTTGTGCGCCGGAAGATGCTATAACTTTTTTTTAAGTTTGTAATGTACACCACTGTTTGTAAAGTCATCAAAATTGTGTGGATTAGTTAAAAAAAAAAAAATCATCTAATTTGGAAGAGATAATTTATATAAATTATTGTAAAATTTCATAAACAAATGGTCTTCAATAAGTAACTCCATATGGAGTGTGATTTCCTCAGTCAATGCAGTTTTCTATTTTATATTAAGACTTCATACATTTATATATTATGTAAATACAGCTTATTTTAGGAATGTTGAATAAAAATGTATACTTCACAATATGCTTACTGTCTGATAGCTTTTTGAGGGAATAATGGGTTGAATTACCTGTATTGCTCAAAGAAATTTTAATGTTGGTTTGCAGGAGTTGCCAACCCTCAAAAGTGAGGCCAAAAGCTTTTTAAAGGTTTGCTTAGAACTACTGTAATAAGTAAACATTTAAAACATGTTGTTTAAATTTGGTAGATGATGTTTGACCTTCTGGCACAAATAATTGGGCTCACAATACAAACTGTTAATTCCTTATATTCATGGTTAAGTTTTACTGTATGGAAGTCAGAATGTAAACAACTGTATTTTAAGCTGTGCAATATTTTTTTGTATTTGTTTTAAACTGGGAAAGCTGCTCTTGAGTTTATAAAACTAGATTACACCTCAGATGTTTCACTATTTTTTTTTTTTCAATTCGTCAGCAAAAGCCTAACTAATGTTGAGGGTTTGATGCTTACAATAGCATATCATATTTAAAGGGATATTGCCCACATAATTTTGGCTCAAGTTTCAAAGTATTTTCATATATTTGGATTAATAGGAACGTTACTGTAATTGAAATAATGAATTGTCTGTAAACATGTTTTGCAATATTTGAAGCCTGCATATCACAGTGCCGAAAACCTGATGATAAAGCTAACTTAGTCTGAGAAAGGTAAAAAAAATGTACAGAAATCTTAGTTACAAACCATATTTTTGAACAATTATTATTAATCTTGGGTTATGGAGTAAATATCCCTATAAAGTTTCAATTTGTAAAAATAAATGCAAAAGCTATTCTTTTAAAAGCAAACGTGGAAGTACTATTTTGATGTGCAGTCTTTTACACAGTTAATGGAGTATTTTATGTATGTTAATTTATATATGGATGCAACTTTGAAGACTACAGAATGGTGGAACCTGACATTAAACTTTTCAATTAGTAAAAGCTGCTACAGTTACTTTAAGAAATAATTTATGGGGTAACTAATACCTTACACATAATGAATGAATGAATGTATTAACAGTAGACTAAGCTTGCAAAGTTTCTTCTGTGGCCATGACTTTCCCATCTTAAAACAGGGAGTTCAAGAAAGTAGTTGCTTGCACTTTATTATTTTTCTCCTTGGGAATATTCATGACTGAATGAAAGTTTAAAAAAAGAAAATGCCAAATGTTGACAGTGTGAAAGTGGCAGTTCGAGTGAGACCTTTCAGTCAGGTTGGTAATTATTTACTCCGAATATTTTATATTAAATAATTTTTGTATAAAACATAAATATGTTCAAAGAGCAAGCGGGAGGAGGAATTTCCAGCAATATTTTTACATGCGGATTTTACAGAGATGCCGTGAATAGTTCTGAATATGAGGTGAAAGAAAAAAAAAATTGTCAAACCTCAACATCTGTTCTGTGTAGTGCACTAGAATATTTATAAAGTGCTGGGATGGCTGATTAAATAGAATTGGCTGCTGAATGAAATGCTAGTGAAGACTGCTTAACAGGGTTTTAACGTATTTGTTATTTATACTGACAGTATATTTTTTGTATGAAAATCACTTAGAGCAAATGAAAACATTGTATTAGCCAATTTATTGATCATTTGAAGTAACTCAGTCTCTTTATAGCCAGCTCAGTTGAATTATCCTTGGCAGTGCTTCTGGAGGGGGAAAAAAAAAAAAAGCAATGCTAATACAAAAAAAGCATTAGATATTTAATAAATTCCTAAAGGATTGTAATGGTTCAGTAACTTTTATTTTAAAGGAGTTTTAATCCAGTTATACATTAAAATGTTTTCCTCTATTTTACTCGGCTGTTTATATTCAATATGCTGTTCCTGAATGCTGACCAGGTTCCCGTAGGTGGATTTGAAAAGAATGGGAGTATAAGCAGAATGTGTAACAGGGAATGAGATTTCAGAAAGTTGAAGGGCATAGAAGGAAATGGGAGCAAAAACAGGCTTTGGGGAATTTTATGTTAGAGCTTGACAACAGGAAAGCTGACTGCTAGCTAAAAGCGAAGATGGCAGCTCAAGGATGGTTTTATAACAAAGTGGAGAAAATTGATTTTACTTATTTTACTCTGTATAGATTTGCTTCCAGTACGCAAAGGAGAGCGTGGAAAAGATCATTTTAGGGTGAGAAGGATCCCGTGCATTGCCAGTGCTTTTTAACAATGAGGACGAACTGGGAGGGAGACTGCATGTTTAAAGATTAAAAAATGGCTTAGGGGGTGAGTGGCTGACCGTGCTAGGGGTCTTCATACAAAATTGCAAGGTGTTTGCAGGTGTATCAGAGAAGAAGACAATATTTATGGTGCTAGAGAGGACATGAAGGGGGCTGTTAAAGAGGGATGACGTATCATGGTGAAAGTATGCAGAGGGGCGTAGAGAAGCAACTCTCACTCTCTTAAGAGACAGCACAGGAGAGACCTTTTTTGGGAGCAAGATCAAAATTTCCCAAGAACTACTCAGCGCAGTTCATCACTAAATAGAGAAATGCTAAGGTTTTTCTATCACAGATTGAGTTACTTGAAATTTTCTTTTTTTTTTTTTTTTTTGTAAAGAAGACCTGAGGTTTCTCTAGACTATTTTGATGCATCTGTTTAGATCGAATGGCAATGACTGATAAATGCTGAAACTCAAAGATACATCTGTGCCCTTGGGGCCATAACTCAAAAGTAAGTTCCAGTGGGACATCAACTGCTTTGGGGATAGTACAGTCTCACCTTTCAGAAAGTGGAATAACTAATATATGTAATGGCAGATTTTATTTCCAAGAAACATACGAGGAGAAGATATTAATGAAGGGAGAATGAACATTATCAAAGCTGAGGGCTGTAGGTAAAAGGGAATTTGTCAAGACAAGTGTTTCAGTAAAAATTTTTCCCCCGAGTTATCTCAGATAAGTGACAGAAACATTCGTAAGATTTTTTTTTTTCTTTAAAGGTTTAGAAGCCAAGAATGACAAAATCCAAATCTCTTTTACTGTTGATAGCCACTTGGGTTTAAAACATTAATTGATTAACGTTGACTTAGTCTGGTTTATTTGCTTTAATATTGCTACGTGCCCAGTGTGCGAATAAGGCCTCCGATAACTAAGTCGTTTAATCCGCTGTCAAACATTCTCACGTGAAAGACTCCTCTCAGGGCTGTCAAAATAGTAAGAGCAATACATGTTTTTACCACTCCTTCATCAGTCGCCGCTCAGCTAATCGTAAGTAACTCGGTAGCTGATTTGCAGGCTTTGCTTCCTTTTTTTTTGTGGAAAAGACAAACTACAGTCAGAAGCAAATCTGTAGGCGATCGAGCATTGTTAGGCAGTGTTTGTAACCTTATTAGTCCAGGCCCATCTGAAAATACTAGGAAGTGATGGAATTTCAAGTAACAAGGTAGCGTTTGTTTCTCATTTTGTTTTGTACCTTACGCCTTCTGTGCAAAACTTCTACTTACTGAACCGAATGCTTTTTTCAACAAAGTAGCAAAGAGACCCACTATCTTGACTATGCTTGGAGAGAAATGTACTGTGACTCGTTTTAAATTAAAGCTGTTCTTACAATAAAATGCATTTTGCAGTGTACTCTGCTATGTGGGTGGCCGATGTGGATTTTGTGAGGGAGAGGAAAAAATGCCAGGTCCAGTCACTGATCTGTCAGTTCGTTCACATCGCTTGCTCCTTGACGGTGCATTTACCTCGCACGGTTCAAGAACAAGCTTATTTCACAATTGGTTCGTGGTACGTTCTTGTTGGCCTTAGTTTTAATACAGCCTAAAACATGAATTCTTAGTGAATAATTGATTGCTGTGTTTTGATACTGCAACTGTAATTTTACTACAGAGGGAGAAGGATGCAGGAAGTAGGTGTGTGATTTCTATGAACTCCAACAGCACAAGCATATATGATCCTAGGAATCCAGGGCTCGTGAAAACCTTTACTTTCGATCTGGCTTATTGGTCTCATAGCGGCTTTCTAAAGGACAAGAATACAGTTACGCAGGCCAGGTAAGACTTTATTCAAAGAGCTAATTCAAAGCAGTTTTAGCTAATGCCAAGTTGTAAACTGGTCAGTTTGTTTATCTTTAGGTATTGACGTTCCGCTAAGCAGAAAGCAAATGACATATGAATCTGTTTACTGGTTTGAAACACTAAAACTTTATTTACGTTTCTTCTTTCACCCTGGAACGCTCAACATCTCAAGTGTGTTTGTAAATCTTTTTTCTTCATTTAAACTTTTACTGGCAACGCTCCTACTAGACAGCAGTGCTTGTGTATGTGGTTTTTTGTTCATCTACTACAAGATGACCAGTACTGTCTGTGTGTATTGTTTTTAGAGAGAGGTCTTTCGTGACCTTGGTGAAGGAGTGCTGGAGAATGCCTGGCAAGGTTACAATGCTACTCTCTTAGCTTATGGTCAGACCGGCTCAGGAAAGAGCTATTCCATGATCGGATATGGTGCAAACAGAGGCATAGTCCCAGTTGTTTGTGAAGAACTCTTCAAAGCGATTCAGAATCAGGAAAAGAACAAGCAATACCAGGTGGGATTAGCACAAATTGTCATTTATTTTCAAGATCTTTCCGGAGTGTACTTTCAAATAGAAATGTTAAGGACTTTATTGATTTAAAAGGTTCAAATTAGCAAAAATGAAAATTGTGAAGATACTGAGCAAATGACTGTGCAAACCATAGTGTATCCTATGAAGAAAAGTATTCCGTAAAAAGTTGATGTAATACAGCTAGATTTACAGATAAACTCTAAAGTAAGAATGTCCGTGTCTTACGTGTCATTAATTGATCCCTGATATGAGTACTAAAACTTATATTTTTTTAGTAATTCTTTTACCAAAGAAAGATCACTCTTTGCACCGTTACCTACTGTAAAGTGAGTGGATCTGTAGTCTCAATTATGCACATCACTCTTCCACAGAATATTTATGCAAAAATCTTTTCAACTCCTTAGTAAACTTATTTTTTCCTTATGCCTTTTGAAGGGTTTTGTATTGTCATACCTCTTACATGCAACAGGATTAATGTTTTTAGCTTTGCAGTACAGCTTTTGTAGCTGCTGGATGCTCCCACTTTATCAGCATCCTTCTGTGCTTGTAGTCCAGATAGCCTGCGGACAAGTAACAAGCCCTGCATGGATTAGAGCATCACTGTAACTGCTGAGCTTCGCTCAGGGTATACAGGAGTGCCTTCTGTCTGCAGAAATATCAACCCGATTACCGAATACTGCTTGTGAGTTATTCCTGTGTTACTTCCCTTAAGAAAGAGCACTTTGTTTTTCCTAACTAGTTCAACATATCCCCAGCTTCGTGCCAACAGAAATGGCATAGAGATGCCATTTGTGAACATGTTTCTATTTTCCTTTCACATCAGGCAGTTGTCCACCATCTGCTTCTGTGATAAAACAACAGTGAAAATTCATTCCTTCCCATCTCAATCACTATATCAACATGGAAACGTAAACCCTATTTGAGGTTAAGTTAATGTTGTTATAGATCGTTCTCGTTGCTTGGACAGAGGAAAAAAGTCACCTGTCCTGGGTTTTTTTTTTTTTTTTAATCTTAGCCATAGTCTTAATGTTGCAGCAACAGATTTCTTTTTTGAAGTTAACGGCATTATTATCGTGAAGCTTAAAAGTTTGGTGCCAGTGCTTACTTAGGGATTTTATAGTCCCTGCCAACTTTGGGACCTGGGGAGTCTTCCTTCCCAGCTGCCAGTGCTCAGTCTGGTTCACCTGAAGACCCAGAGGTCTCTCCACCTCAGGCCCGTGGACGTGGCTGCTACTTCCCCTTCGCAGGTTTGGCCAGTAGCGAGGCTGAACACTTCCCCTGGACAGGCATGCACACGCACACACACACACACACACACACACACACACACACACACAGCACGCTAACGTGGTTGGCTACACTGGCCACCACCCGACAAGGCACTCCCTTCAACAACGCCCACAGAAAGCAATGCCAGAACTCACCCACAAAGGTAAGCAGAGATAGTCCAGGCCTCTTCCTCCTCTCTAGCTGATCAGAATTAAAGCCTTTGCTCTCTGGATTTACAAAGGCACCCACAGTCACAGATCCCTTGAATAGCAGCGTGACCTCTAAGTCCATCTTCTGTCTGTGGCCTGACTCTGGGCCTCTTTACCCAGTATGTGGTCTCCTCCTACTTGCCAGCTAGTCCAGCTTGATGCTCACTAGGAAACAGATGTATGCACCCATACACGTGCGGATCCCTTGAATATCAGCGTGAGCTCCCAGCCTGCCTGCTATCCATGGCAGGACACTGGGCTCCCTTACTCACCTCTGGCTCAAACGTTGAGTCTTTCCAGAGACAGATTTTCTTTATACTCACCAGCTCGGCCACCTTGAAGTTTGGTAGTGAATTACACAAACACACCCACATGCTTTTGGTTAGGGGAAAATACAAACATGCCATTCCCTCTGCTTGCAGGTGCCGTAGACACAGAGGTCCTATGACCTGTGGTTCCCGCTCCAGCTGCTGGCACTTAGACGCCCGCTCACTCCAGTTGCTGGCACCACAAACGCATGGGCTGCTATCACATGGTATCTAACTTCAACTGCTGGTGCTTAATTCACTCCTGGACTCCAGTTCACTGGACCCCAGTTGCCAGCACCCCTAGCACGGGGGCCCTATGCCCTGTGGCCCTGCCAGCTGCTGCCACTGAGACCTTCCCTGGCTCCCACTGCTGCCACGGCAGATACTGGGGCTGCTGTCGCCTGAGGTCTGACTCCAGTTGCTGCCCTTTGATTTTACTCAGTCTTGTCTCTCCGGTTGCTGGCACCTAGACTTCATGGCACTCTCACATGGAACAGAGAGTGAGATTACATGGAAAGATAGTTAAGGAAGGATTTAATAAAATAGGATAGACTGCAGTGGTCGGGTGCAGGCTCAATCAGATGAGTACTGACTGGTGCCTCTTCGCATGTGGCTGGTCCCTTTCATCCTTCCTATCCATCCTCCTCTCCCTTTTTCCCCCTTATTCCTCCCCTATCCTCCACTTTTTCCTATCTTTGACCTTTTTCTTAAGCGTTCCTTAATAAGTTTTGCATAGTCCTCACAGGTCCCCCTCAAATATCCATAATACTTGTATTTGACATATTTCTTCTGATTTCTTAACAGCCCCTCAATTAGTGGCTGAAGGGTTTTGATCTTTCTTATTGTCCAGTTATCGCTTACTTGTCAGGTTTGGGTCTCTATATGTTTTGTTTCTCAATTTCCCTGTTACTTATTATTCCCTTTTAACTGACAAGGTCTTTGATCTCATAACCTTAATGAACTAGCTGCTCTCACGTCCACATACCCTTATATAGGTAGTATATATGCCTGCAGGTGTTCATTCGGAAATCAGTAATGGAAACATTGACTTTTTCTGTATTAAAATGGCCTTGAAAATAAACACTGGCTGGGCCACTCTGCTAGTCAATGGTGCTGTCAAAAATAAATATTTGCACTTCCTGAATTTTCTGCAATGCTGTATAGATGCTCATTAGTTCTTAGTATCTATTTTAGGACAAATAAAATGATTTATTGTAACACATCTTGTAATGAGTCTCCCTAGGCAACGATGAGGATTTTGGACACAAGGGTGGGTTAAAGAGCACTGGGAGAGGAAACAGGGCTGTGATGAAATGGTATGGATCTAGTAAGCAATTACTTGCATTCAGTTTATGTTGTAGTTTAGGGAAAAGGATGTTTTGATCTGTGTAGCCTGCATTATTTTTAGAATGGGATGATACTCCATCAAAATGATTTTTTTTTCAAATGCATTTATCTTACAGTTATTTCTTGTCCTTACAGATTACTTTCAGTATGCTGGAAATTTATAACGAACAGGTAATGGTCTTGCTTTATTTCATTATTATCAAATCTTAATGTTTTCTTGTACTTTTATTTCTTTTTTGCTTTAACTTCTTATGTAAGAATGTGTGTGTGCACGTGTGGGCCTGCATCCCAAGGGTCTTTCCCTCCCAGATCTGGAAGCTGTGTTCAGCTGCAACCCTTGCAATGTTTCTGTCCTTTCTCTCTCTAATTTGTTGTTTGTTGCTCGTGGATCCTACACAGTAATGTGATAATCAGCCTTTACGTTCTCTTACAATGACTCTTCTGGGCATGTTATCTGAAGTGGGACCAAGCTGATGGTATCTGAACCTAGCAGCATCTTTTTACTGGTTGAGCTAAATGACAGCCTGATACCAAAAGTCTGTTTGGGTTCATAAATTACCTCATTATCAAGCTACTAGGGTGGGCCAGTGAGTTAAATTTAAAAACCTCAGACCACAACTAGGATCCTGAAATAGTGTTGTTTTTTGCAAGAATCATCATACAGAGGGCTTACGTTTATCTGTGTAGTAGCAGATAACGCAGCCGGGCCAGGAGCGGGTCAAGAGGGACCCACGCAGCAAAACCTGGCAGTAGGTTGGACAGGAGGCCTCCTTCTTTCTTCACCACTGTCACTTACCAGCAGCGCGACATGATCATACTGCCATGCTGTTGGCCATGCTCTTTCATCTCGGGCAGTGCTTTTCCTAGTCTACGTTTTACTTTTGGGCTTGTTAGGCTTTTTCTTGACTTTTTTTTTCCTACACTTTCCTTTTTGTTGATTTCTTGTTTTGGTAGACACAGGGTATGTTGCTAATTGAAAATGGGTAATTTGTTTCTCTTAAGCTGGGAGGGGTTTTTGAAGCTGGTGTATGCCTTACAGGACTGAATTTTTAGCTTTCTTTCTAAGGTGTATACATTTTTTGCTGCTTGTTCACAAACTGCTTCGCTCTATACCTTTCTTCTCGTTACTTTTGAGCCATGTGGCCAGTTTCAGTCAAATTTGATCGAGTGGGCACGAGTTAAAAAATGAATATACAGGAAAACAGATGACTTTAGTTTTAGCAGCTGACAGAATAACTTCTCACCTCATGTAGCAGAAAGGGTATAATTTTTTTTTGTTAAAATATATACTGCTTTTCAACTTTGATGTAAAAGAACTAGGCAGATAACGGGCTGAAAACATCTCAAACGTGAGATGGGGAGTAAAAAATAGCAGCACTGGGAGAGGGAGGAGCTGCCTTGGGTTCAGAGAGACTAGATGCAGACCACTGCATATACTTTCCTGATAGACTTCTTTCAGAATAGGCTCATTTCCTTGTCTGCCTTCTTGAAAGTCATATATTTTGTTTTCATTGGCCGTATTTTATATTTGCGTTGAATTCAAGAAAACAGATGTTCTTCTTGTTTACATTTTCAAATAAAGCTATTGCATCTTTGTCACCATAAACTATTTTGGGATGCAGACAGAAGGCAGTACCCTGCTATAAATTACAAATAATTGCTCTTGGAAGGGTGTAGTAGATTGAAAGTTAAAGTGCAGGCACTTTTATGATAATAATAGAAGGAGAAGGAAATAACGCCTTTATGCTGAATTTTGTAAATGTCTTAAGTCTATAAATGTGGGCTTTGAACGTAGGTTAAATTTACCTGGAAAATGGAACTATATGGAAATGAGAGTATCTAAGGAGGATAAAGCCAGAATAACTACCAGGTGCTGTGCGGTATAGTCTGTCTTAATTTTTTGTACCCAAAGTGTAACACATTTTACTCAGTTACAAATTTTGACTGTAGATCTCTCTCTGTAGGTAATAGACTTACTGTCTAAAACGAGGAAGCCTGGAGGGCTCAAGATTAGAGAAGACCAGCAACAGGGATTTTATGTGGATGGTCTGAAGCTGGTGCCTTGTGATAATTATGCACAAATTGAGAGGTTAATGGAACAAGGGAATAAGATGAGAACGACAGCTACAACTACCATGAATGCTACCAGCAGTCGATCTCACATGGTAATCACGATCCAATTCAAACAGGTGTAGTATGAAGGCACCGTTTCCACTTTTCAGTATACTTGTTTAGTATTCTTAATTAATTGGTCCTGTTAGAAGCACTCTAAAATGAATTTGTTGAAGTTTATGCAGACACAAAATTCAGGGTGGCCCCGTTTTACCTAGGGCCTGGAGTGATCGGGACCACCATTGTTTATTACTGCCTCTGCTAGAGCCAGCAGAAGAGCAAATGTGAGGATCGCTCCTCCCTCGGTTGCGGAATCAGCCATGGCAGCTTAAATGATTGGCACCATGCTCACTCACTGCTGCTGCTCTCTGAGTGGTGGACACCAAAGGCAGTGACATCCCAAAACACTGCACCTCTTTGCAGAATAGCTCTGTGTTTAAGATCCTCTGTGTCCTAAATTCATTTTCCAAATATTACCAATGGGCTTTATCATCTCTCGCTAGTAACCTGCAGTCCCTGTTCTGGTAGCTCCTGTTTGCACATTATCGTTATGCATAAATCCTGGTCTGGATATAACAAGCAGCTCCGTAGCTAGCAAGCTTGACCATCGGTAATTTAGTGCAGTACATGTGTCTGTGGCTTTCTGTGGCATCTCCCTGACTCTTTACAAGAGAAGGCTGCCAGGTCAGCTTTGCAGCGGGTGGGAGAGGAGACATGACCGGAGAGGGTAATTTAGGCCTGAATCCTGCTGGGAAGGAAGCTGTGAAAACGTGATGGAGCAATGCTATCCTCACTGTTGCAAAGCCCGAAGAGCTGTGCGCTCCCACAGCCAGGTAGCAGGGCATTGAGTAACTGCGGTGATGCTGCTGACAGAGTAGTTTAATCATATCAGAGCAGTTATACTGTGGCAGTGGCAGTGGAGATGCTCCACTCAGTGGAGCGTCCTCAGTGCTTCATCTCCTTCCCCCCCTTTTTTTTTTCCTTGATAAACTGATACGTGAACTACAGTTTGTGTTGAAGTAACCTTTGACTGGTGGTGGAAAGCTGTCTATAGAATAAAGTATTGAGGATAACCTTATGGTAGAGTTGGTTGAGGACAAGAAGGATCAGGCTGGCCTGGAGGTTAAAGTCCCATCTGTGCAGTAAAAGCAAGCTCAGCTTCCCACTTCTGCCTAGCATGGACAACTCCGAAAGCTGCTCAGCCCCTTGAGAGAGAGAGGCAGTACCAGGCGTATCCAGCAAGAAAACTGGGAGGGAGATATCTAATTTTCCTCCTAGGAATTGTGTTTGCAGTCATGGGAGCTATGGAGTCAAAGACATTTCCAAACCCTTTTTCTGTGGGTCAGGGAATGAACAGTGTTGCTTGGACAGCTATCTGGAGAGAAGGTAAACCCCAGAAGAGCAGCCTGAGAGAACAAGCAACAAGCTGAGTGAGCAATTGAGGAGCGCAAAATGTTAGTGGTGGGCGTGCCTGAAAGACATGTATCTCCATGGCGTCAGTGTAGGACACGCTGAGATGGACGTTTCAGTTCACATAGAAGTGGTTCCTTGTCCTGTTTTCCAAATTTCAATTCAGTGTTGAAGCACTGCGGATGTCCCTGGATGAGCCGTGACAGCATTCATCAAAGCCGTGCAGGACAGGAAGGGAAGAGCTTTCTGCATCTGCCTGAGACTTCAAGAGGAATTTAGAGTCGCCAAAATCAAACTCCTGGGGGTGGGGGAGGGGAAGGTGGATCCTATGGAGAAAGAGAACCATTACCGTTGGCTCCTCTATTAACAGTCTTGCCGTTTGCTATATTTTTGGAGAATCAATATAATAGTGTTTTATTTCACCTAAAGTCAAGCTGCTCTTGAGCTGTCTGTTTTCCCTATGAGCGGTGCTCATCTTCCTTGCTCATTTGGGTCCTTCAATGTGAAGATGTAGCTATATTTTAATTAATATCAGAACTTTTGATTTGATAATCTTTCCATATGTTGATACCGTATTTTACAGATTTTTCTAGATGAAGCAGTCACTAAACAGTCGGTTATAAATCTGGTGGACTTGGCAGGAAGTGAAAGGCAAAAATCCTCAGGATCTGAAAAAGACAGACTGAAGGAAGGAACCCGTGTAAATCTAAGTTTAACAACGTTAGGAAACGTCATCAGGTATTTTTTTAAAAATCCCTTTCTGTAAAGTAAAAGCGAAAAGTTTCTGTGAATAAAAAAAAAAATCGTCTCTGAGTTCAGATCTTCCTTGTTCTATGGTTAATAAAATAACTTAATGAATAAAGCTTCACGGCACACCTGAGAAAGCATGGAGCACATGGAAATATAAAACGCTGATTTTTTTTTTCCTTAGCTTCTTATTCTATGAGTATTTGGACTGCCTGCTCATTTTTCAAAGTAGCAATAGGCTGCGCAGCTTTACAAGGTTGTTGCTCAGTATATCTGACAAATCTAGGCTTTTCTGAAACTGCTGAACTGAGCCATTCCAAACAGTTCTTTCAGTTTTTTAAAATCTTGACAGTAAATTATTTAGGCCTTGTATGAAGGATGATTTCTTTTATCCCTATAACGAACACACTGAAGTATTTAATCTGGTAGTGGTTTGTGAACAGAGGACCTTTTTTTAATCTGCTTTGCTCCTGATAGTTATCCTTGCATTGCTCACCTCTTCCCACTAAACCCTTTTTTCCCCTTAGCGCTCTGGCTGAGGGAGCTACTGGAAAGAAAGTGTTGCATATCCCATACAGAGACTCGGTTCTGACTAAGCTCCTGCAATCTGCTCTGGGGGGAAACAGCAGGACGATCATGGTAAATCGACCCTTGTAATTATTACCCAACTTATGTGTTGAAATAGAATTGCATGGTTGTAACATCGGTGAAAATAAGTGTAACTTAAAAGTTAAGATTGTTTTCTGTGCGGCATAAAGGAGGGAGCTTTTCTGCTGGTCCAAATGGACTGCCCAGAGCCCTGTAACAAACAGTTAAACATGGACAACTCTGAAGGCTGCTCTGCTGCTATTATCTTGTGGAAAGTTTCTTGTCACTAATAAAACAAACGCATTGCTCAAAAGGCCAGTGCTTCTTTTTTTTGGAATAGAAACGCATCTGGCACAAAATCTATCTGTCTGTCTCTGCTGTAGAGATATAAAAATCATTTCTTTGGAAAAAGTACTCTGCAAATTCTTAAACATTTAGCTGTAAATCTCATAACCGCCTGTTTTATATAAAACCCGAGTTCTTTACGTAAAACTAGACTATATAATGAAATAACTATTTTCTTCTGAATTCTGTGATTGTTTGTGCTGTGAACGAGGTGCTGCATTCCTTAGTAAGACAAAACTCTCATGGACTCTGTTCTTCCTCCCCGATGGATACCCTCCACTACCTTTAAAGAGGCATTTTTTAAAGACAGTGCCATTAAATGAAAAGTGGAAAAAATATGAAAGCAAAATGTGCATGTGTGAAAACGTTGACGTTAAATGTTAATAATCTTAAAACAGCTTACCTGAGTTTCTTCAAGTACGAGCTTTCTTAATTCATCAATGATGCTTTGAACACATTTAAGGCCAAATTCTGCAGCTGTCACTTGTTCAAGTACCACCAAAGTGGTTTTGAGCATTTTTTTGGAGTGAGTTGCTAAAAGAAGCCAGAGTTACCAGGATACTAGCCCCTTCATTATTAATTTTTGCACAAACCGTCTGTACCCTCTCATCTTTCTTTCTCATTTCTTGCAAAAGTGTTAAAAAGAGTTAGTTTATTTATAGCTAGCTGTCTAGGACGCTAGGATTCTCCCTTTATGTTTAAAGACTTACCAGTATGTTTTCCCATGTTAATCCATTTTTTAAAAAACTCATTCTGGTGTTAGGTAACACATTTTATATGTTTACAGATTGCAGCTGTAAGTCCAGCAGACATCTGTTATGAAGAAACTTTGTCGACCTTACGATATGCTGAGAGGTAAACTTTTATAATTTTTTCTCTCTGGCGTTTGTGCAAATTGCAGTCAGATGCTGGGCAAAATAACAACATATACCAACTCTACATCATTAACAGCTCAGAAAGAAGAAAGATTGAATGTGTAAATAGGCAAAAACAGCATAGTAAGAGCTTATTCTTTATTCTTATTCATCCGTGGCATGTGTTTTTACAACTAACTTGTGTGACAAAGGTAACTTTTTCCTGAGAATTCTGATCCTTATATGTATGTCATAATTCAGCTTTTCTTTCTTTCTCTTTCTCTCCGGGTAACGCAGCACCTGTAAAACTAAGCCAGAGTCCCACTGACCAGACAGTGCTGAAATGTAGACAATGCAGATGATCCCTGCTCCAAGGAGCTTATTGTCTCTGCTTCCTGATTGCAGTAATACTGCTACAAAGAGCTCTTCCTTGCTCAGGATCGAGTTGCTTGCTCCTTTTTCTATCTATTGGTTTCTGAGCTAGAAG